TCATGTCAGACGAGTATCGAGCCGATACAGATCGCAATATTCGTTCTAGGACCCACGCACAATCTGCTGATCGCCGACTGATGAGGCAATGTTTTCCTCCTATTTCTTTATTCTCCGTTATTCTTTTTGCTGCTGTGATCCTCACTCTAATTTTCTAGCTGAAGAGGCTGAAAAGTTGAGGTATTCTGCTGTTACTGGGGTTATTTGTTAATTTATGCTTATGAGTGGATGAATTTTTGCTTACCGTGGTTTTCTATTCGCATCAGGACCCAGTTTTAGGCAATGACACACATTGTGTAGCTTGTCCAGACGCCCCATTCTTCTTTATTTTTCTGTCTCATTCTCGTCCATCCCCTTTTAACGATTTCTCGAAGCCTTTTTTTGCTTTGAAAGTACCGATTCACACAGTTTCTTCGCCTCCATCGTACTATTTTCCATCTTATATTCCGTTTTTCGTCATAACTTGGATGTCCAAAATAGTCATGAACTGTGCCTTTAAAATAAATGCCCAATGTCAAGCCTGCGCGAAAATGGGGGCTTGGGTCATGTAAAAGTAGTACCTCCAACCTGCCTTCACTATCCTTGATTCACTGAAGGTTTTGGCTCAAATCTATGGCTGTTTCCTTCGATAAAGGGATAGTACTTAACTCATTCAGGGAGGCGCAATGATCCTTTTAGTAGAATTGAGAAGTTGTGTTGGTAATTTTCTGCGTTTTAGATTTCAACGAAGATGGTTCAGAAAAAAAAGAAAATGCAATTAAAATCCCCACAAGGTTCAGAGGACTGATTGCGACCTGATGTTCAATTACTGTGTTGTTATGTTTAGCTTTAGTCTTAGCAAATAATTCTAAATAAACGATTCTAATTTCTTCTGAACGGACGAACTTTTTCGAAAGATCTTGTCATTTCGAAGTTTATAAGGTTTGCTTGGGTCAGAAAAATCCCGCAACCCTGGTTATTTTTTCGTGTTTTTATATTTGGGTTGTGTTTTGAACGGTCTGAGCGGGTAAAGAGAAAATCACGCAAGCGAAATGATCCCAAGGGACGCTAACTTTCGAGTGTCTTTTTTTTTGTTGCCTTGTGCCACACTACGATGATGGAGAAAGGAAAAAAATGAAAGTGTTCGCAATAATCACATATCGATCGAACTGTATGAACAAGGTCAAAACTGCAATAGCGAAGCAACTAGCACGCGACCGCCGCGTGCGGCGAATCGATTACGCGAAACCGATTCAAGTGCCCGTCTCCCCTCGTTAGTTATTCATGAGGATTAACTTCTGGGGCATGCTTCGGAGAGAACGTTCCTCGGCTAGAAGCATAAAGTACGCCTCGCTCGTCCACCATTGTTTGGGGGCATTTTCTCTCTACCCTAGGTAAAATCGATATCATAGAAATCACGCTTCTATAAACACTCGATCAGGTGGGAGTTGTAGGGGCCCATGCACGATGGAGCATGTGACTGCCAAAGACACTTCATTCTGGATTTGATTTTGCAGATCGCTACAAACTTTCGTTCCACCGTCCCCAGCAGGACGCACGGCAACCACCGAAGGTCTGGTCAAAAGGTTTGGGGCTGTTCAATTCGGAAGTGACTCCCTTCTCCATCCCGAGCGTTCTGCATGCGGCTTCTGCATTTCCAAAATTCAAATGAATTCAGAGCCTTTTCGTGGTGAAACATCTGTTCTATTAGCACCGTGTAAAGTTTAGCAAGTGACTCTTTCCTGAGCTGTACTTTTTCATACCACGAACAACTACTAATTTGGTACTCTTTATGGTACTACTTTGAATGGTGAAGAAATGCGTCAAAAGCATTAGTCGGTTGTTTAGAGGGGTACTCCAAAAAAAAAGGGTGTTCGAAGCCCCAAGATGCCGTACGGCTTAATCACGTGCATGCAGTTTTTTCGGACCACACAGCAATGAGCGATGAAGTAGAAAGATGGAAGCGAGCTGGAAGTGAAGGAAAACTAGGTCTTACAAAGGAGTTCATGACCACTTTCTAGTGATACATGGTACAGTAAGGTTCCACTGTGATGATCATAGGAATGAAAAACTGCAGTAAGATTGCCCTGCTCTGCAGCTAGGGAAATCTAATGGAACTTCAGCAGAGCCGTTGACGCGGAAAAGAATATTCCTTGCATACTACTGCACCATGCAAAAGCTTCAGAGATTATTTTGATTCTCTAGATTTCTTGCCCATATACCATCAGTTTTTCCGCCACAGTTTCTAATTGTAAACGACAGGTCAGGCCCATTACCAGCTCATTACCATTATCTGGTAGAGTAGCTAAGAATGATCAAGTACGAGCTTCCAAAGTGTAGGGCACAGGCGTCACGGAACACCTTNGACAGGTCAGGCCCATTACCAGCTCATTACCATTATCTGGTAGTGTAGCTAAGAATGATCAACGTTGTTGGCGAATAGTCCTTATTCCATGGCTATCCTATACAAAGGTAGTAGATGGTTCGAGCTTCCAAAGTGTAGGGCACAGGCGTCACGGAACACCTTTCAATCGATGCGCAAAGGCCGGCTTTGACAGAAACCAATGATCTACCATAGGCCAAACCTATGTACTATGTTCATGGGCAACTGGACAGCACGAGGGACTGTAAAGTGCGGCGTTTTCCCGCAGCCTACTTCTTACAGCATACTGAGCCTTTTTCTTGGGTGACGGTACTTCTCCCGGAATTCCCATGGCAAGCGGTAGAAGTACCCGACGGTTACCGTATCCTGTGAATTCCAATCTTTTCCTTCTTAGCGCGTAGTCGCATGCGGCGGCAAGCGCGTCGCGATTTTCGAGCACCCACCCACACCCCTTTTTTTCCTCAATTTACCTTGCCAGCGACTATGCGTATCACTTATTATTAACGGTAATGGATAAACATCATTCCAGATCTTCATATCCACGTAAGGTAGTGAAGTGGTGTGGTTCACTCGGCAAGCAGATTCCTTCCAGCTAGGCACGCTAGCAATTCCTTCAGGTACGCTTCTAGGATTATTTGCCACATATGTATTGGTGACAAAGATATGTTACATAGTTTTTCTGTAGCCCTAGTGAAACTCAGTTTAACTTATGATTTGTTACAGTTTGAAGCCAGCATTTTCGTGAAAGTAGACCTTAGAAGGAAAGATGCTATTACCAGAGAAAGCTTTGACAGCAGGAGTAACAAGTTTTCTGTAAGTTACGATATTTATTGAAAACTTTTTCTCGGTTATGAGATGGAAGTTTCGGTCAATGCAGAGAAGATTAGAAGAACACGTACAAACGTTACTCGGGCGATAATTTCTAATAGGGGTATGGGTACATTCACCCAGAACTGGATGGACGCGGCAAATCGCGCGGCGAAATTCGTGGCCATTCAAACGATTTTAGCGCCTATCATCGGGGCTCAAATTTGAAGTGGAGTCGATTAGTACGATCATCTGGCCATACTAATGTACTCTACTTAAAATTTACGCCCCAATGATAGGTGCCGAACTCGTCCTAAACGCCACGAATCTCGCCGCGCCATTCGCCGCGTCCATCTCGTTCTGGGTGAATGTTCCGTCCCCCTTTCTAATAGCGGTGAAAATGTAGTTGGGAGGGGGCGTGGTGGAGGGTGTGTGTGTGTGGGTTTGGGGAGACTGACACAGTGTTGGAATAACACGTAATAACTCGTATAACCGTGTTAAATTCTTGTCGTGTCTGCCCTACCAACTACATTTTCATCCTCTCATAGAATCGCACTGCGGGAGATAACAGCAGTTAACAAAACATCAAGTCAAAACAAGTTTGAACAAGTAAAGTACACAGCTCAACGGTTCTATGCTAATACTGCCTAATACTGTCAACAAGTTGTACGTGTTAGTGCTGATAAGCTATCCTACTATGATTCGCTAAGTGTGTCTGTTGGTTATGTGGTGTGTTTGGCTGGAAAATCATAACTCACGCTAACTCATGCTCCCTTGGACCGGGTATGGGTACATTCACCCAATTCTGGATGTGCGCGACAAACCGTGCGGCGATGTTCGTGGTGATTTAAACGATTTTGCGCCTATATTTGGGGCACAGGTTTCAAGAGTTTGAATAAGTAATGCTAGCTGATGCTTCTTATCTACCCTACTTCAAATTAAGGCCCGATAATAGGCTCCAGAGTCGTTTGAATCACCACAAATTCCGCCGCGCAGTTTGCCGCGTCCATAAAAAATGGGTGGACATTCCATCTCTCCTCCCCCCCCCCCCCCT